ATGATGTTGAAGAGAGGCCTCCAGTCCCATTCTGGTCTTGTCATGTTAGTTTAATGCTTATGTTCTTGGAAAGAAATTGTTTCTAGCTCATAGCTGCAATCACTGTTTGAATATTCTCAACATTCAAGCAGCAAACTTCACTTTTCTCCCCAGTTGATGGTCATGCCTCACGTTTAAAGACTACCAATAAATATTCTAATTTTTTATTGGTATATGTTAGAATTCTGCCCTCACTCCAGCTGCACGACCGCACATGCAAAGTTTAGGAGTTAAGCAAAGGGTCTTGCATCTTATGTCATCAGTGTGTGCTGGTGATTATGTATTCACGGCAAATCTGCACATGCGCGGCATAGCTCTGTAAGCCCACCTGTGCCTTAAAGAGCCATGACTCAGACCCTACCCCCTCTCTTTGTTCTGCTCTCTCTCCCCCTCCATCATCTTTCTCTCTGCTCTCCACACGTGCGTCCCCACCAGGTCTGGTTCTTCTGCCCCTACCCCTCTTCCTCTTAATAAAGCTCTGATACTGATACTGGGTTCTGTTGTGACCACGACCTTTTGGCGCAGTAACTAGTGCCACCGCCAGCATGGCTTATCATTCTTACAGTATAGCCATTTCCTTAGGTTCCTTAGTAAGGATTTGTTCTTTAACTGTGTTGTAGAAAGCTCAGCAGAAGACTGTGTACTAACATTCGTAAATTCATTGCTTTGATCCAAAGCACAATAAGAAAAACAAATACGCTGTTGGTTAAACAGTGATTATACTATAAAAATATGAATGGAATGCCTCATATCAAGTATCACCCAGTATTAATGAGCACCTGCTGGAATAAATGGCTGGTCACCTTGTTTGTGTTATTACTCTCTTATAGAATCCTTGGACTTGCAGTAAGTAGAGAATGTCATTTTCTGACAGCCTTAATGCTTTGAGATAATTTGGGGAGCTCAGAAAGAGGGTAACCCACCCCATGAACTGCAAATGAAATTGATGATATATTAAGTATTGTGTTGGTTTTCTAGCCTCAAACTACTTTTGAGAGTTTAATCTGAAGCTGTTTGTTTGTTTGTTTGTTTGTTTGAAGTCCAAGCAAAGAAAAGCAAACAAACAGAAAATCCAGACCTCTCTGAACCACCAGTATGACTGGGTGGTAGAGTAAGCTCATTATCCAGCATTACCCAAATTTACATTTTAAAAGCCTACATTGTTATTCTTGCTGTAGTTAGGTAAATAAATAATCTAGCTGTAGGAGTTTAAATGAGAATGTTCCTCAATACGCTTTCGTATTTGAACACTTGTTTCTTAGTTGGAGGCATTGTTTGGGAAGGTTTCAGAGATGCAGCTTTGCTGGAGGAAGTGTTTCACTGAGGACAGGCTTTCAGATTCGAAATCCATCACATTCAGTTTGCTGTATCTGTTTTGTGCTTGCAATCCAAGACGTGAGTTTTCAGCTTCTTTTTCCCACTACCATACAATTCCCACCATTATAGTATCTAAACTTCTGGAACAATAAGCCAAACAAAGCAAAAATCAAAACCAATCAACCCCCAACTCTTCTGTAAGTTGTCTTGGTCATGGTGTTTTATCACAACAAAAGTAACCAGTATAGAAGTTGGTACCAGAGAGTGTGGGCTGCTGCTGTGAAGAACCTGACCATGTGGGGTTTTAAAGGAGTGTAGAACACTTTGGACCTTTGAACTAGAAAAGCAGTTGAATATTGTAAGCAGAATTTAAATAGACATTTTAGTGGGAGCCTAGAAGACAGTGTTTCTGAGAGCAATGCAGATGTTAGAGGCTTGTCAAGTGGTTTCAGAGGGAAGAAAGGATCTTAAAAATGGGCTTAGAGGCTATTTATATGATTGTTCTGGCAAAGATTCTGGTTGCTCTGTCTTTCTCCCAAGAACTTGCCTGAGGATAAATTAAAAAGTAATGGACTCATTTCTTGGATGAACCTCAAGGTAGCATCCTATTGATCTGTGGCGTGGCTATTATGAATGACTGGTATGCAGCTCCACAATGCGGAGTAGAAAGTGGGGCTCAAAAAACCAGAAAATACAGTGTGAAGAGAAGAAGAGCACCAGGAAACTTAATGTTGCAGCCAAGCACGTGCTGAAGGAGATAAGGTTAGTACCTTTATGGAGAGGCTTCCTTCTCTGCACTTCAATAAAGGAAAAGGTGCTCTCAGGTCAAGAGCCCACCCAGCTAAGGTTCTAATTTGTGGAAGAGCCTAAGGCACTTTCTGCTCCTAAAAAGCAACTGAGTAAAACTGCTTCTGCTAATGAGATTCAAGAGGGGCGAGATTCATCCCAAGCTGGCTGCATAACTTGGCAGTGTTTTCTACATAGTGCTGCCTTTAAAGGCATGAAGGATGCAAGAGTGAAGGGCTTATGTATTCTTTCTCCATGATTTTAGAGAGCCACCGAGGCCCAGCAAAATGCGGTAAGGGAAGACCCCATGTGGAATCCTTGAGAGGTCAAGAGGCTATGAGATGCCACTGTGTAAAGCTGTGTAAGTGAAGTCTGGGATGTAGTGGAGACCCTAAGACATTGGACATGGCAGAGCCATGAGATCTCTGTCAAGAACAGCCTCATATAGAGTGAAAACATCCCAAGAGAGAGATGTATGATGCAAGCAGCAAAACTGGATAGTTGCAGCCATCTAAGCTCTTTGAAATTCAAGTCCCAGACACTGGATACGAAGGTAAAAGATTTGGTGTTTGCTCTGCTGGGTTTCCATCTTGCTTCGGTCTATTACTTCCTCACTATGCCTCAATTCTTCCCTTTTGGAATGGTAATGTGTATTCCATATTATTATATATTAGAAATAAGTTGTGAGGGTTTTGTTTTGACAGTATGTTTACAATTAATGTTATCTTGAATCTCAGAAGAGACTTTAGACTTTTAAACAGTGTTGGGTCTGTGAAAGACTGAGGGTTTTTGAAGCTGAACTAAATGCATTTCGAATTATGACATGGCCAACAGCTCATGGGAGTCAAATATAACTGTCTGAATAAAAATGTTCCCCAAAGGCTCCCATATTTGAATGACTGGTCCTCAGTTGGTGGCATTGTTTGAGTGAAGTTTAGGAGGTACAGCTTTGAGGAAACCTGTCACTTGGGGCTGGCTTTCAGAGCCCAGATCCACTCACTACTTAGGGCTTAGTCTCAGTTTTGTGCTTACACTCCAAGATGTGAGCTCTTACCTTCGCATGCCTGCTACCTGCCATTTATGCTATCCCTGCCATTGCAGACTCCAGCCCTCTGCACCTCTGCACCTGTGAGCCCAAAGACACTCAAGCTGTGTAGTCATGGTGTTTTAGCACAGCAACAGAAAAGTGACTAATACAGAAATTAAGTCTAAAACTTATTTTTTCCAACAATTTGACCTTACTCTGATTTCCTTATTATTTCAGACATTTTATTTACCTTCCATGTGGACAATTCCCCTGTATCAACTTTGCTGCCATTCTCCAAAAAATACTTTCCACTTTCTCCAACTACTCTGACTTGGTATCATGAAAGACAAACACTTGAATCCTAGAAAATAAAACTAGACAACTGGCACAAACTAAAAACCAAACACCGTAGGAGTTTACCCACAAAGACCTCTTGCCTGTTCTTGTGTGAACTACTCAGAAAGTTCATTGGCAAGTGTGATTCAAATTTAATACAGAAAAATCTTTCATATTGTTATCATTGGCTTTTACTCGAAATACTAGAGCCCAAGTCTAGAAATGTTCTTAGCCGACAACCTATCAGTTTCAAATTGGCTTCTTAGACTTTGCCAAAAATTATTTTCGCCTTTCTTTAGCTTCCAGAAAATTATGATTTACTACAAAACTGCTTGGACCGTAGAGAGGCCAACTTCTGACACCCCTCATTTGCAGTACCACAGCCATGAATCAGATTCTACTTCCTTAAATGAACTGATCTTTTCCCAGCGATAGCAGACTACAGGTATAGTGGCACAACTCTATTTTAATCTTAGAGATCCCAAGTATGGAGGAGAGACCTCATCCTGAATATATTTCTTTTATATACTTTGAGTTGGTCAGATGACTATACACTGTGTGCATGTGTGGAGTTACCAATTTTGAATCTCATTAATGTATCCAATGATACATGTTAGTCCAAAATCAGCACAAAATTCATACATATTTTGCTCAAGTGAAAATAGCTTCTATAATTTATTATTTTATTTTAATCCCATTTTACTTTCTTTCTATTGAATACGTGGGTATCTAGACAAAAATATAAACTGTCTCATGAATATAAAAACATTGTGTTCTCACTCTTTCTAGAGTTAATAGTCCAAGTTGTTAATTTTTATTTCACATTTAACTATTTTTTTTTAAGATTTAATGTGTTGAATATCAAGATGGGAACAAGAAAACCTCTGATAGTAAACTGTACCCCCCAATAACATTATCAGGAACAACTACACATACAATATTGTATTTAAAAAATAGGAGCTGGGGAGATAGCTCAGTTGTTAAGAGCATTTGTTGCTCTTTCAGATGTCCTGGGTTCGATTCCCTGCACCCACATGGTAGTGCAAAACCGTCTGTAACTCCAGTTCCAAGGGATGCAATACTCCTAATTTCTGTGGGTACCAGACACACAAGTGATGGACATACATGCAGACAACACTCATACACAAAATAAAAAATAAACACCAAAACAAAACAGCTAACCTTCATAGCTAAAAGAAACAGACCACATTTTTCACACCACTCTTACTCCATCCCTTCTAATGGTTTCCTACATTGTTTTTATTGTTACTGGTGCTAAAAAAAAAATCCCACCTATCAAGTGCACATGTGCTCACCCATTTCAGATCTTATTGGGAGAGATGCTAGTGGATTCATTTATTAGTCTCATTTAAATACTATTTAACAGGAACCAGTGGCAGCAGACACTACCCTGCAACCCTGTGTAAGGAAGTTTCTCAAGCTTTGCAACTTTAAAGGGTTGTGTCCACCTGCACTTCATTTATCATGATTGTGATTCATACTTATGAATAATGAGACATAATCATTGTTTTTTATAACTTTTTTTGTTAAAAGGCCAAATGTCTTTAAACTCGGCTGTTTGTTTTGGGTGCTTGACCCAAGGACCCTGTATTAGTTTCCTTTGTGTTGCTGTGGTAAAATTCCTTGATCAAAACTTAAAGGGAAAATACAACAGCAGGAAGGGGAGGGAGCGAGGGAGGGAGACAGAGAGGAGGAGGAAATGTTCTAAGTTGTACAACTTCACAGCCTGAAGGACCCTTGTCACTTGCTCCCAACCTATAGCCCCTTCCCATGTCATACCCAACGTCTTGGCCAGCCAGATCCTACTCTTTACCAGGGTAAGCCTGGCTGACCACCTGATTCTCCCTTCCACCCTCATCTAGACTAGGTCTCACATCCAGTGTCCCCAAATAGACTGGGCACCTCTTGGGATGCCCTAAAACTTGAGGCTCAGATCAGGACCCTTGTAGCCTTATCCCAACCTAGAGGCATATTTAATACCACATCCGACCTCTCCACCTAGCCAGATCCTGCATATCATCCATTCATCAGGGTTTAGCTAGGTGAATCCATCTGATCCTCTCCTCCATGCACCTTTGCTTCCAGTGCCTTTCTAGATAAAAACAAAAACAAAACAAAAGCCAAAAACAACGAAGAACCAATGGCTCTGATGGTCGATGCATTGCTGTGAGGTCAGTTGAAATTTCAAGCAGGTGGCTTTTTACATTTCAAAACAACTCGCACCTCTCACCTATCCAAAACTACCTGGGCTAGTAGAGTCAGGTCTTGGGTGCTTGTGCTGCCCTGGCATCCTTCCTTTGTGGACACTTTGAAATGTGTGGTCCTTTCTGGTTTCCTGGTTAGGTAAGTGGCATCATAGCATATCAGTTAATCTTGCATGTGGCATTAATCCAGAACAGTCATATGTCTATATTTTGCAGTGGGCTGAGCCTGTCTACTCTACTAGGATAATTGACTTCAGATGTAGCAGCAGCAACTATTTTATACTGAGCTGCCATGTTGGTACCACCTTTTGGTTTGTCCAAGAAACACCAAGACCTCAGAATTGCTCTTATCCTTGGTGTGTGGCCTTTACTCTGTCTAACAAGGACGTTCAGTAAGGAGATGCCTGTATTGGAGCTAGTCACAGTCAGAAGCTGGCACTGCATGAGAACCTCAAGAGTATTTTTCTCTCCCTATCTTGGGCAGACAGCAGGTTCAGTCCTCAGTACTCTGAAACCTCTCAGCCTGTCACATTTTATCCATTTAGGAAAAAAAATCCTGAGTGAAATGAACAACATTCCATTGTTTACCCAGTAATATATTAGTAGTATTTGTCACCTAGAACTTTCTCTAATAAGGAAAATGTGTTGCATAGTCTTTGAAAAAAACTCATTACACTCAGAAATGAGTCTTGTTCTGCTGACATGTGAGAACGTTGCTTTTTCCAGTTTTCATGAGTGAGCTTATTTAGAAACTTTTAATATGTAATACAATAATATATTCTGAGAAGTGAGTTGTTGGTACTATTCTTTCAGAGCTGTTTTTTCTACCAGGTCAACTAATATCATCTAGCAAATCTGAAGCAACAACAAAGGGTTTTCCAACATTATTTACCCTTGTGCATTTGGAACATTGTTGAAAATTCTTTGAACTTTCTTTGAAAGTTCTCTGATATTAGAAAAACTTTGTATCTTGATTTAAAGGTGTTGACACATTTGGCATATTTATAGTGTTTCATTCCAGTATAAACTCTGGTGTTAAAGTGTGCAAAATGGTAGAAGTCTGTGGCACTTTTCCTACACTTGGTAGTTTGTCTCAGGGGTGAATTTTTGTGTTTAGTGAGAGCTGAAGAGCTATAGAGGCTTTGCCAGGTTCTGAATATTTGTTAGTTTTTGTCTCATATGTGAATCCAGTGTTCAGTAAGAGATGAGCAACAATTTAGATTTTTCCACATTAAAAAACACCATTAGTGTTTCTAAAGTGATGGTGGTGCCTAGTAAAGAATTATTACACATTTAAGGATTTGGTATTGTTCATATTTGTATGGTTTCTCACAGGAAGAATTAATTTTCTGATACTGAGAACCTTGTGAATGGTAAGTCATAGACTTTGCTACATTCACTGCTTCTGTCGGACTCATCCCCACTTTGAATTATGACATTAAACCAGTTTTTGACTATGGGTAAAGGATTTACTACATTCTTTACATTTGTTGGTTTTACTCATGTATGAATTCGCTGATGTTTTCTAAGGTTTGAACACTGACTAAAGCATTTTCCACATTCACTACATTTATACGGTTTCTCTCCTGTATGGATTCTCTGGTGTTGAGTAAGGTTTGTACAATGGATGAAAGCTTTGCCACACTCCTTACATTTGTAAGGTTTCTCTCCTGTGTGAATTCTCCGGTGTTTAGTAAAAGATGAACGGCAGTTAAAGGCTTTGCCACATTCTTCACATTTGTAGGGTTTCTCTCCAGTGTGAATTCTCTGGTGTTTTCTAAGACTTGAACATTGGGTAAAAGACTTTCCACATGGTTCACATTTGTAAGGTTTCTCTCCAGTATGAATTCTCTGGTGTTCACTAAGTGTTGAGCTTTGGGTAAAAGCTTTGCCACATTCTGCACACCTGTAGGGCTTCTCTCCAGTGTGGATTACCTGGTGTTTTCTAAGGCTTGCACACTGGGTAAAGGATTTCCCACACTGTTTACATTTGTAGGGTTTCTCTCCTGTATGAATTCTCTGGTGTTGACTAAGAATCGAGCAATGATTAAAGCTTCTGCCACATTCTTCACATTTGTAGGGTTTCTCTCCAGTGTGAATTCTCTGATGTTTTTTAAGGCTTGCACACTGTGTAAAGGATTTTCCACATATTTTACACTTGTAGGGTTTTTCTCCTGTGTGAATTATGCTGTGTTTATTGTAACTTGAGCAATACTTAAAGGCTTTGCCACATTCATTACATTTGTAGGATTTCTGGGCCTTCTGAATTTTATGTGTAGTAACGTTTGCGGTGTGGTTAACTGTTGTGTCACAATCAATGTGCTTGTAATGATTATCTTGAATATAGTTACATTGATGGATGGTAAACTCTGAGCACTGAGTAAATAAGTTTTCACAATTGAAAAGGTTCTTTGGAAACAGAGTACACTCATGTTTGTTGGAACTTGAGCCATTGTCAAAGTTATTATGCACTTGGTTAAACTGACCAGATTTCTCTACAATAACCATATCCTTGCAATTATTTAGTGTAGAGCCATTACTGAAAGCTTTGCTAGTTTCTTTACACATATATGTGGTTTTCCAAATATCTGTATCTGAATTTTGGCTGTGCAATAATGGATCTGTAGTAAGCAGTCCACAATTGTGCATTTGGCTATAGGAAAGATCTACTTGTTGACTGAAGAGTGAGGATCTTTCAGGACAGGAAGTCTCTATTTGATCAATTTTAGAGATCAGTTCTCTGTTTCTCAATTCTTGGTCTATGGAAATGTTTGAGTGAAAGACTAATCCCTCTTTCAGATCTTCCAAACTTCTTTTCAAAGTTAAGTTATGTTGAACAATGTCCTGTGGGTATTTTTGTTTATAGATACATGGCTTTTCAAAAGCACCTGTTCCAGCATGGGTTTTTTTCACAGCTGTTTTCTGCTCTTGATCTCTGTTGTCAATGACATCTTTGCTATTGCTAGTGATCGCACACTGGTTACGTCTACCACGGCAGGCTGTTTGACCTTTATTCTCACCGACATTTGCCCAATTTCTTAAACTCTTAAGGCCATAACTTCCAGGTCTTCCATGAGTCACTTTTTTGAAGGAATATTTTAGGATCTGTTCTGGTGAAAAGTTCTGGGTACAATGATGAGAAAGGGCTGAAATAAATAAAAACAAACAAATTAATTTAATGGATTCTGGTGATTACGGTTTATAAATATATGTAAAGTTATACCAGATTGGAACATCAGTGGGAAACCACAGGACCAAAGGTCCTTAGTACTCTCTTGCATATTAACTTTAGAAAAAAAATACCGACCAAATTAAACTTGTGTACCCTCCCATAACCAGTTAAGAAATCACAGCACCCCAAGCAAGCAGAAAACCAAGCGCAGTTTGATTGTAGCTGGAAGCAAAGTTGTTACTTTTGTCAACCATAGCTCCTCTCTCCCTCTACAGCACAGGCAGTCAGGGAAATCCAAACCTCCCTCTCCATCAGAGAAAACAGAATGAGGCTTTTTTTTGGTAGGGGCTGTCTGAAACCTGGCTACCTACAATGACAGAGTGTAGGAGATACCAGGTGTATTTTACATGATATAGTGTTTTTATACTCCAAACTGTGATCAGGGGTAGAGAGCCCACAGTAGCTAATGAAATCTGTATAGAAACATAACTCCATATAACAGATGTCCTGAGAACAGGTTTCAGAGTCCTCAATAATCAAAAACATGATGAAGACATCCTATAGAGAAAAAGTAACTTTCTGAATGTAAACAAATTTCTGCTGTTTATCAATTCGCTGAAAAGTAAATTTAATCTACTCATCATGTACATACAGCATGCTATTTTAAGTATGGATTTATGGTGGAATGACTAAACCTATCTTCTTAACACATTATCATTTCATATAATTATAATTTTTGTACTTGGACACATCCTATCAATTTCCATAGTATTTTCTCAAAAACATATTAAATATACTCATGATCTATACAATTCTGTATGTTCTTATGCCTATCCTTTTTTTTTTTCAATTAAATCTAGATCTCTAATAAACAGCTATGGTAGAGTAGCCTTATGTTTATCTTAGTAAGTTTTTTCACCTTTGATCACGACTACTTCAGTAACCCCCAAATTGATAGCCACACTCACTTTTTATTTCTGAGATTAACTTTTCAGATTGCACATTGAGGTGTTCATTTCCTGTGCCTGCTTGATTTCATTTTAAGTCTTACACTTTTACACATACTGCATAAGATGAGATTTTTTTTCTTTTATATAGCTCAATAGTAAACCACTGTGCATATGAACCCCATAATCTTTTTAAAATATTAGTGCAGATGCCTGTGAATGTCAGAAGCATCATATCCCTCTGGAGCTGGAGTTACAGGCAGTTGTGATGTGGGTGCTGGGAACCAAATTCTGGTCCTCAGCAAGAACAGTTTGTGTTATTAAGTTATTATTTAGTATTAGTTGTTATTTAGTATGTGCTCTTTCTTCATCCCCCAAATCATTTGTTTGTACTGAAATTAACTTTTGGCTACTTCAAATCATGCTGCACTATTGGTGATCTTCTCAACCGAATGATTTAATTTTGTTTGCTGAAATATTCAGTCCCTGGGGTGGCTGGAACAAATGCACCTTTGGTTTTTACAGTTTTAAGGTGCCTCCATGCTGTCATCCCCCACTGCTATAATCTCTTGCTGATTCTTTTTTTAAAGGACAAATTTCCATGAATGCTAACACAGTACACAAAGAAACAGAGTGCTGACTCAGGGGGAAAGACAGGAAAAATACTGCAAACCCATCATTCAAAAACAGATTTATGAATTATATAAACAAAACAACCATCTGAAAGATAACAGATTAATAAAACACTAAAATCAAGAAAATGAGAATACAAAGAAACAGACACCATAAGCAAATAGCATAGGTAATAAATTCAGTAAGAAATAGTGGTGGAATATGATGAAGAAACACATCAGAATTCAAGCAGCTTAATTAGTTGCTGCAGGCTGAAAGACAGAGAGTGAAAATGATGCACGCTTGGAGTCCACGTTTCAAAAGTCACAAAGGTAATCTGGAGAGCAAAGTGAGGATGCTCTCTGTGACCCCAGAGGAGCTTTGGAAGACGTACTGTAACATAGACATAAGAAGGAGAACACAGAGAATACACTGCAGGGACAAAATCAACCCATCTTCAAAGTGAAGGAAAGTAACCCATTCACGGATATATAAACACTAGATTGCCGATATATAAACACTAGATTGCCCGACTGTTACCAGGCAACACAAATAAAGAAAAATTCAAGCTCTGTGGAAAATCAAATACAGAGCATCAGAATTCCACAGACTTATGAGGATGTAAAAAACACTTTAAGGTTCTAACTAGAATTTAAAAGACAAGTGTAAAAGCTTTATCATAAACCTCTGTTAACATGCACAGACACACTCTAAATAAAACAGCTAATACCAATAATATCACAGGAAAGGGAAATGTATTTACAAAGAAAATTTCTATGCACTGGAAATTACACTGTCATTAGTAAATACAAAAAAAAAAAAGAAAAAGGAAAATTATGCTGTATCATAGGAGACTCTTTTAGATGTAAGGATTCAGGAATGCTAAAAATCATGAAGGGACAAAAAGAGCTGGCATGGCCATAATTATCTTATAAAAAACATTTCAGACAAAAACAGTTGTATGATAAGAAGATACAATTTAAGCCAGAAAATAACCATGCTGGCAAGTTTTTTCCCCCCTCCTCTACACAGAAGCTAGAGTCTTCCAAGAGGAGGGACTCTCAACTGAGAACATGTCTCCATAACACTGGCTTGTGGACAACCTTGGAGGGCATTTTCATGCCTGGTGATTGATGTAGGAGAGACCAGTGCATTGTGGGTGGTACCATTCCTGGCAGGTGGTCCTACCTAGGGTCTACGAAAGCAGGGAACACTCTAGGTGTGCCCAGGACCCCACAACTGTTCTTTAAAGCACAGATCTGTATTGGTCATGAAAAGCACAGGCTACAACAGACATTTTTGAAAGGAAAGACTGTTAAATGCTGGCAGTGTGTCGGGAGCTCTGCAGGGATGCTGTCCTCACCCACAGAGACCAGGTTTCTGTAGTTCTCTAACATCACATCCCTATACAGATTCTGCTGAGGAGGGTCCAGGCATTCCCACTCATCTGGAGAGAAATCAATGGCCACATCGCTGAATGTCAACTGGTCCTGAAATAAAAATGAACAGAAATAAATACCATGCTGATCAGAGTTTTAGTGTCACCTAAGGAGAAGGAAGAGTTAGAACTGGTGACGATGCGGGCAGTTAGAATTGTTCAGTAAGGTGCTTTGGTATCACACTGATATTCTACAACACCTTACCTAACCGAGTCTAACTATGGCACAGCACCTGCTGAATCAGTGTCAACACTCCAGCTTTATGACATTTAACATGTCAAGGCAAAGCATTACCATCAAAATATTCACAATATGAACTAATATTATACAACTAGAATTATACAATTCTCAGACGAGAATGTCACAGTGAATTACATGGATGATGGTTCTGATTCAGGAGTTCTGGACTGGAGGCAGAGTTTCTGAGGACGCAGCTCAGTAGTGATGCTGACGGCAGCGTCCACGGGCTGTTCACCAGCAGCCACGAGGCAGACACTAGTGGAAGAATTCACTGGCAAATTCGACTTTTAAAGTAATCACGCATTTTATTATAATAGGAAGTACAGCAAGAATAATCTTTTTGATTATTTAAAACTACTATCTTCCATGATTTTATGTTTCTTTTTTCTACATCATTTTGTCAAATCTATAGCAAATGGTCAAGCCTAGGTTCTGACCAAATGTACCTGTTGCAGAATTCAGATGGAAACATAAAGTAAAAATAAAATAACTTTCAAGCAGCTTTCACATGAGATTGGGAATGGAAATGTGTTAAGAAGGCAGCAAAACAAAACTGATCAAATATTATTTATATTTTATTTCTACACATAAAAATAGTAGCTATAAATCCAAAGCAATACACTATGCTGTGTGCATTTCCCAGTCACAGAGTTCTTGCCTAGTACATACAAGACCCCAGGCTCCTCCTGAGGACAGATTAACACACACACACCAAACATAAAAAGAGTAGAAATGTTCACATCAAACATGAAAAATATGGGTCTGGAGATGTAGTTCAGTCTGTAGAGTATGCCCAGCATGCACACAGGTTTGGGCTGACTTCTCAGCACTGCTTAACCAAGATGTGTGTGTGTGGTACACCTTTAACCCCAGCACTTGGGAGGTGGAGGCAGGAGAATGTAAATTCAAGGCCATCCTTAACTCCACACTGTTAGAGGTCAACTTGTGTAAACCTGAATTATATTCTATTTAAAGAAGATTCTAATTCCTAATAAGAAATTAGGGCCTCAATGCCACACACAGAAACCCCATATACCATTATGTGTAGAAACAGGGGTCAAAAGAATGGCTATGGTGAACAATCCCTTGGGGACCATGAGGAAAAAAGGCAAAGGGCCTTTTACCTCAGGTGCACTTTGTTCCCTAAACAGTTCTTAGATGTGATTTCGTTCCTCCTGCGACAAACATTTACATTCAATTTATAAGACATTTATTCTTGGTGGATGTGAGGACATAGCTCTAGAACCCAATCTTCATTGTACCCTGAATCTGGGTATGGTCTTCTGCCTTGCTTTTGTGCTTTCCAAAGAAGATATAATCTATAGTAAGTGCCAGACATTGTGTTTAAATTGGTTTAAACTTTCCTGATAAAGTTCTGGGAAAGGGCTGCTCTGTTAAAATTTAATATGTGCTTACTGACCATTATTTACATGTTTTTCTGAATCGAACAACCTTTGGATCGTTGCTTTCTCAGTTACATTCCTGTATAAAAGTACACTGAAACTGAAGTAGGGCTGTCTACAGCAGTAGAGCATAGGTTCTCCCTCCCCCAGCCCCCATTCTTTCAGGTTCTCAGAATCCAGGTCTCACATACAGATCTGCATAGGCTGGTGAAAGTCAAAACACATGGATTCTCCCTTGATGATATATCCTGTGGAAATCACACAATCTGGGGAACACAGTTGTACCCAATTGTACTAACATATTTTCCTGGAAATATATCTTGCTTTCAGAGACTAAACTCTCTTGCAAGCAAGTCAGTACTATGCCTTGAGAGGTGATTTTTTTTAAGACTATTTATTCAATTTGATATCCTGCTGTGTATTCAGCCTGTTTAAGTTTACCCTGCCTTTAAGAAAACAAGGTAACCAGCCTTACTATGCCTTGCATTTCACATGTTATCAGCTTTTATATCCTAAGCTGAATACAGTTTTAATCTTACATTATGTACTCTTCACATCCCTGATCCAGAATAATGTATGTGTGTTTGGTGTGTTGTGATCTTTTGCTGAAGGCCTTAAACAAAACAAAAATCCCATAAATGTTGGAAGTATTATGTGGATATAGGTTGATAAACTCTGTTAGTGGTTTTGAGTTCTATTTTGAGTCAGTTGGGTTCACGACAGTAACTTCTTCCTTTGTAAAACTCGGCTAAAGATACCAGTAGAAGTATTCCTCATTCCTTTCCCATATCATGTTTTCATTCTTTTTTGAAAAATTTATTTTATGTGTGTGTGTCAGAATAGGTCATCAGATCCCCTGTACTGGAGTTACAGATAGTTGTGGGTGCTGAAAATCTAACCTGGGTTCTCTGAAGAGCAGTCTGTGCTCTTCTAACCAATGAGCCATCTCTCCAGTCTCTTAGCATGTTTTCTATGCTGTTCAATAGATACAAAGCAAAGCCCTTTGTTAGGCATAAACAACGCAGGCAGGCAGACATCAGACACAGACCAGACACAACAGTCCACTAACCACACCATACATATGGAAGATACAGGGAGAGAAAGACATTCAAAATTGGGCTTGCTCCTGGGATAGTATTCTAAGAAGAAATCTCTTTCTCACTGTCTTTGCGACAGGGATGCACCCAGCAGCAGTGGTGCAGGGCCAGCACGCCCAGGTGCTCTAGTCACTGCTCTGTTGCTGGGAAGAGACACCATGACAAAGGCAGCTCATTACAGAGAGCATCTGATTGCGGGCGTGCTTGCTGTTTCAGAGGGTGAGCCATTATCAACACAGCAGGGAGCATGTTGGTAGGAAGGCAGGCATGGTGCTGGAGAAGTAGCTGAGAACTACCTCCTGATCTGCAGACAGAACTGAGCCAGGCAAGGGCTTCTGAAGCCTTAAAGCTCACCCCGAGCAACACACCTCCTCCAAAAAGGACACACCTCCTAATCCTTCCAAACAGTTCATCACCTGGGACTAAGCATGTAAACATGTGAGCCCCTGGGGGTACGTCATCATTCAAACTACCGTATTACTTAGCTATTGTCCCAGCCCCACAACACATTACAGAGGGGTCCTAGGGCCAAGCTTCCCCTGCACTTTGCTAGATCCCCTTAGTCTGGCAGTAACTGTGCAACGATCTACTCCCTTCTCTGTCACTGTCCTGTTAGCTTGGTCAAACAAGCTTCACATCACTCCATGCTGCTCTGTGCTTTGGGTGACAGTTTTCTCTGGGAATTTGGACAGCTGTCTACAGGGCAGCAAAGCACTCTACACCAACTCTGGGAACAAAAACAATACATAAACACAGAGATAGATAAAATTTTAAAAAGGGAAAGGGAAGGAAAAGACAGAAAAGAGGAGGGGAAACAGAAATCTTTCTGTACGTGATGGCAAGGTTACAGCAATGTACATAATGTGAATAGTCAGGAGGTGGGTTGGTTCATGAGAATTGAATCCCTCTGGGGTAAAGACCTGCTACTTTAGGGAGTCAGGTTCCTGCAGTCTAGAGACAAGGCATGGACATCAAGCTGCTCTAAGCCACTATATAATGTGTAAAATAAAGGCTTCCAAGCTGTGCCTTGTCCTGCGTGGCTCCATTTTGAGTGAAAGCACTAAGATGGAAAAGCTACCAGGAGCACTCAGTGTATGTCAAGGGGCTACCAAAGAGCCCAGATGGCTCCCTGGGTTCTATTCTCCATGGTCCCCACTCCATGACTAGGGCCACTCAAGTCGTCCCCTCTCTTACATAATCCTGCTCCTTAGCAAAAAGGAGCCACGCCTCCACCGCAGGGCTCTCGTGTGTCTCCAGCAGCTCTACTACTGGGTTCATCAGTATCAAACTGAAAAGAAGGGGGAACCAAATCCTGAAAAGATTGAGGGAACAAAGAAAGTTAAAGGAGTCTGCTCAATGTCTCTACTCAGATAAAGGCCACAAATTACAACAATAAAATTTACTATGAAAGCTGCCTTCACAGAGACACAATTCCTTTTATATACAGATCAAATAAAATATTACAACAGCAATGAACAGTGCTTAAGACCTAAGTATAGTCAACCTCCAAATAGGTCTTAAGACCTTTCCCAGGTATTTTCTGAAAATTTCACAAGATTATTAACTTTTATTCACATTAAAAAACACTTAACCTCATGCCTAAGGGTTTCACCTCATAAGCTAAATTGTTATCCACTGCATATCAGGAACTAGCCCAAGATCTTATTTAACTTCTTCAGCAACCCTTTGCGATGCACGTTCAGAATGCTCTGAAATCTTTTAAGTAACTGTTTACTGTACAGCAATTATTGGAGACTGTAAATAATTCTACATCCACACATGGGTCTATCTAAGAACCTGTTTCTATTAACCTTCATGCTCAAAATCTATGTTAAAACCTCTAACAAATTCTAAGTCTGCTTCATACTGGCTCATCCAGAAATTTCTTTCTGTGATAAAAGTATCCCAGCTTTACCAGAGTAGAGGTCATTGATAACTCCTCTTCTGCTACAAAAATCAGCATGAACTGCGTTTCCTGCCTACATCCCATTGCTGCTAATATCTTTAAGGCCTTTTAATATGTATCAGCTTTTTATCTCTGGCTCCTCTGAACTCTGAGCTTTAACCCTTCTGTAACCATTATGTAATCTATATCTACACATAGTTATAATAGTAATTCATATTATAAAAGAACCTATAGTTGCTAATGGCAGCTATCAAAGAATATCAGACTGCCTGGTAGATCAGCTAATAAGACTGGCTTATTTTTTAAATACAACTTTGGAAATGTGTCCATCTATGCTTCTGACAAACCACTCTCATGACATAGGGAGAGGGGGATCAATTTGTAGAGGTTCACTGCAACAGGCAGGGAATTCTCAGGAAGCTTCCAGTTTACTCAGCTGGATCCTACAACGGATAACAAGGCCATCCCCACATGATACATTCTCAAGCTAATAGACATTTTATTAGTGTTTCTTCAGTTCTTCATAGACTAAGATGTAGGCCCAGGTCAGAACATGGCTCAGATGAGGCTATACTGACAATACAATCCTTTTCATATATAAGATACAGAAACACAGTTTGCATAAACAATAGACAGTTAAGACCCCTATCTCAACAAAGATAGACGTATTCCAGAAAGGGAGTCCTCCAGACTTACAAACCTAGGGAAGATGCCTACGTTCTGCTTTAGCCATGTTCCCCTCCCCTTGCTGGCAAGTCCTCTGCTGCTGCTGTCATGTCAGGCCACAGAATGAATAGTAAGTAGAACCAACTGTGAACTATGAAGCTGATGGAAGAATTCAAGGATCCTGAACTGAGAAGCACAAGTCAGTAAGCTAACACTGAAGTCTCTGAGACCTGCTAAGCACGCCCACAGCTCCAGGAGCCCTAGTGTCTTATGTAAAATCCACATGAGTGGTAAAGGCAAGAGGGAAGGGTGTTCTGTAGCTTTTCCTCATGGTATAAAACAGTCATCTCTTCCACTATTATGGTGCAGGACAGATAACCAAGACTAAGTCAACTGTGGCCAGGAAGGCATGACAAGAAAACGAAATACCGTGACCACTAGGTCTATAACAATGGCAATGTGGCTGTTTATACTCCCTAAAAGACAGAAGGAGGTGGGAGAATCTCAGGACTTGATTTCAGGATTCCACCCACCTCATCCTCTTGCCTCTCAGTTGCACAAGACCATAGAAGATGCTAGAATATATAGGAACGGAAAAGTTTAAGTGGGATTCCATGATGCAACTCTTGTGTTTTGGACACACTTTCTGGGATAAGACTTCTTGATGGTACAGCAGCTTTGCAATTCACGCTCCTATAAACTCAACGGATTCATGGTTTATAAAGTGAGGTTCAGTGGAACCTATGTTTTACTGTACTCATGATGCCCTATCTTGGTTAATCACACTTTTGTTCACACCTGCCAAGGAAAAGAAATGCAACCAAGTATGGAGGTTTTGAAAGAAAAAGCGTTCAGGGTTGAGGTGAAGGAAGGGCCGAGTCTTCAGTGACTGGAGCCCTGAGTTAAGTCAGTACTTGTGACAGACATCCGAATGAACCTCCTTGCTACCACTCTCTCAGCTACCTGAGTCTGTCGGGTCACCGACCTGTCAGCTTCGTGAGGTTGTCTTTACTGGTCTGAGATGCAGTCTCACCTGTAGGCCCCAGGCATGCCTTCAGTTCTAAATCCCTGTGTCTTACTCAATAACAGGCTTCTGGAAGCCTGAATGCGATCTCCCTACTCCCCAGGCCCTTTCAAGTTGGTCACACTACTGACTCCAGGTCTAACTGCTTCCTGGAAGCAGTTTGTTCATACAGTGAAGGACCCAAGTTAACACCTTCCAGTGGGCTATATCCTGAGCCTCTAGGCTCTGGGAGAAAGAAGAACTAAGTACATGCAAATTGATGGACACATTTTCCATGGAATAAGCACCAACTGAAGCTTATTCCAGGAAGAAGTTGTACAGTGCATTCTGCCACTGGCTACCTGACAGTGTGGATTCTAATAACCTGAATCAGTGATTCAAAACACAGCCAACAGGTGACAGGCCAGCTTTAAGAATAGGCGTTCCACGGTCCACAGAATCAACTAGTCAGGGTTCACAGAGGCTCCGAGACTGAAGTGACAATCAGGGAGCTTATATGGGCCTGACCTAGGTCTTCTGCTGCATATGTGTTATGGTTGTGTAGCTTGTTTTTGTGCGACTCCCAACAGTGGGAGCAGGGGCTGTCTCTGACTCTTTTGCTTGCTTTTGGGACCCCTTTCCTCCTATTGGATTGCCTCATCTCGCCTTGAAATGAAGGTAAGTGCCTACCTAGTCTTGCTGTAACTTGTTATGCCATATTGTGTTGACATCCCTGGAAGCCCGCTCTTTTCTGAAGGGCAACGGAGGAGGAGCGGATCTGCGGGAGAAGGGAGGTGGAGGGGAGGGGCTGTGGGGAGAGGAGGGAGGGGAAACTGCAGATGGGATGTTATATATGAGAGAGACAAAAAAAGTGTTCCAGTGGCCACTGGTATGTTAGAAAGGAAACCTTGGCCCAGAATTGTTTAAGATATAAATTCAGTGCAGTTGTTTTTAAAAACATGAAACAGAATGACCCTGTGACCTAGCAGTCATAAAAGGACTGAGGTCATAGTGACGAAGACGTGGCTACTCCAACATACTGACTACAACACCGTTCTCAGTGGCCAAGACATGCATCCACAAAAGGGCCTCTTAGATCAGAGTCCTCCAGGCTCAGGGCATCCAGCTGCTCCCTCACTGCACCCCACACCTCAGGTTGTTTTCTGAGGAGAGGATGCAGTGGTAATATGCGCTAGATAAGCACACAGCAGCTGTGGACATGTGGTGCCAGGCCCAGGTGCAGGAAATAACTAAAGCACAGAGCATGTAAACTCTCCAAGGGGAAACCTCAATCCAAAAACACTGAGATGTCTGTCGCCTAGAAGACAAAAAGAGGAGAGTACAAAATCAAATCAAATCAACAAAAAATACTTTTTTTTAGAAACAGGTGTTGAAAGGGGAATTGTTAACAAACAAAAGACAAATCCCTATAAAATGCCAACCACATGAAATGCCACGTGCAGGACATGGCCTTTGCACCCAAAATGTCAGCAGATGTGATTAAGTGTACACGACTGGCCCTGACAATACTCTGTGTGTAGGGGGTGGAGGGGTGGGGTGTCATGGGGCCTCACCCCTCCCTGAGGACTTGTGGGCACGTTACAGCTGATAAGGGGTTGAGAGATATTTTCTCTATTAGTGCTGCCACTAACTAGATGCCCAGGCTCCGGTAAATAACTCTCAGTAAATAACCCTAACGAAGCTCATGGGTTCCCCAAAAGATAGATGAAAGTATAATTACTAGGGAAGAAGGAGATTAGTGGGAGGGGGGAGAGAGAGAGAGGACATGCTCAAAATACATAAACATGTAGGAAAATGTCATAATGAAACCCATTACTAAGTATAATATATACCAATATAAAAAATGTTAAAACAATAATAAAGTGCCATTTATTATTATCTGGAGAATAGTGACATAAAGCTGTCTGACTGAAATACACACAACTGAAATACATCAACTGATAATACCGTCTTGGGAAGGGCACACACATTTGGGATTTAGGATTTAATTACCAGACTAAGGCCCTGTAGGCTGGAGGAAGGGTTTTGGATCTGAGCTCCTACTTCCGATACATTCCGAGAGCTCAAGGGAAAAAAACTCTGGGAGAAGAACCCAGCCGCTCTCCGGCGGGAACGTCCGCCATGGAGACTGGATTTTCTGACGCTCCTTCAGACCGTCTCCAGCAGTCGGCAAAGCCGGCTGCAGACAGGGGAAGAGGCCGCCGCAGGGCAAGGGACTGGAGGCTGCAAAATCCGCGTTTCAGCCCAGCTCCTCCCTTCCGGGGCACCGGAGGACACGAGGTCCGCGCAGCCGCCCAGCTGCGCCCGAGGCCAGGGGGACCTGGCCCGGCGCCCCCGGGAGCGCAGACTCCCCCCTACCTAACCCTCCGCGCAGCCTGGCGACCGTCGCTCACCGGCTCCATGGTCCTCGTGCATTTCCAGCACCCGCCGCTCCCTGAGCAACAGCGACTTCGTCAGGGACACCCGGGGCTCCGAAGCCGGGACCCGCCCTAAGACATTTTCAAACACAAAGGGTATAGGCTCGCGAGACTGTCAAGGCCCGCCCCCTCGCTCTGTGAGCTTGATTGGCAGGTTTTTCAACCAACACCACTTCGACTCAGGCGACTGCCCCCCGGCCTTGATTGACATCGGACGGCACCCGTGACTGAAGGAGGTCGGAATGACAAGTTCTCAGCTGTTTTTAGAGGAGGGCTTTCTGGGGATTTAGTTCCCAGGGTGACCTGTCGTTTTCCCCTTCTGTGTGATGTCACGTAAGTCATCAGTTGTACGTGTAACACATACATGATCGACCAGTGCAGAGAACATAACGACGGTCATTTTTCCGTTCCCTAGGACTTGCCTGGACTCTGTTCTGATGGAGACTCTCTCCTGGGTTTTGAGATGGGAAGGCATTCCCGAGTCAGCAATGTCCAGTACAGACGAACGAGAGGGAGAGGTTCAATTTAAAATATTCCAGTGTTCGTTCACTTTTAGAAACTGAAATTAAAAGAGCTACCCATGCCAGGTGCTAGACAGGCATTAACCTGCTCAGAGGCCAGTGAGGATGGACCCTTCCCTCACAATCAGCTTAGGAGGAGACCCCCTCTCTCCAGTAACATCAGGTTTAAGAAAGGGAAGTGTCACTTGGGTCCCACAACTAGGTGGTGGGAACAGGATTGCGCCTAAAATGGATGCCGGCCGGCCGAGAGGGGCTGTTTGTGTTACGCTTGCTTGAAGATGCAGCATTTTAATTTCACGTAATACAGTTTCTAATGGAAACATTATGAAGGCCCTTTAAGGTTAACGACACTTGCCAATATATTAGTAGAAAATTTAGTAATTGATGAGCAGTTTATAGACTATGGCTAGGAGGATGGTTTAGAAAATAGCAAGGGCTCATGCCTTTGGTCCTAAATTCTCTCATAACAGTAATGGAAATAGGAACTGCAGCAGGCTGCTGCATTATTTCTTGAATAAAGGAGCTAAAACAAAAGGAAAAAGTCATTGAAACAATAATCAGCAAGCAAATGCCCACAGCAATCCACATAACAATGTTTTAGTTATTAGAACAGACTATCTGTTCTGTGATGAAAACAGTCAATGAATGCTAAATCAGCTCTTTAAAAATTAAAGTAAATCAGAGGAGAGAATCTAAAGAAACAAATATCTATGGTACATTTCCAGTTTGAGGTGCATTTAGACCTCACAGAGAGTCACAGATAAGCAAGAGACAATAAGGTCCTTCACTGTCAGTTCACCGCAGGGTTAAAAAGTACCCCTCACGGAGAACAGGGGATTCTGTGGCTATTATGTTGAACTGAATGGTGTTGTAAAATAATAATAATAATAATAATAATAATAATAATAATAATAATAATAAAAAAAGTACCCCTCACACATGTTCCTCTACAAACAAGTTCAATAAACTCACTGGTGTCGTAAAACGGACTTTAGTGCAATGCTAGAACAGGCAGGCATTGTTTACATTGACCCAGGGAAAGAGAAACTGGGACATAGGACTTCATTGAACAATATCTTCTATGCCCTGAGAAAGGAATTATTTACCTTCTTTTATACCCATGTGCTGGATAGTTTTATGTTAACTTGACACAGGCTAGATTCTAGAGGCATCTGAGAGGACGGAGCCTCAATTGAGAAAAAGCCTCCACAAGATCAGATCATAAGCAAGCCTGGAGGTCATTTTCTTAATTGATGACTGATGGGGAGGGCCCAGCCCACTGTGGGTGGTGCCATCCCTGGGCTGGTGGTCCTGGGTTCCATAAGAAAGCAGGCTGAGAAAGCCTGGGGAAGCAAGCAGCACCCCTCCATGGCCTCTGCATCAGCTCTTGCCTCCAGGTTCTAGCTCTGCTTAAATTTCTGCTCTGACTTCCTGCAAAGATGGACTATGATCTGGAAGTTAAGCCAAATAAACCCTTTCTTCCCCAACTTGCTAAGACAGTGTGCTTTGGAGATGGTTAAAGCTCTAAGTGCTATGTAGCAGCAATATCAAACTGAAGTAACCATCTTTTCCAGTTTTGTTGAATAGGGAAACTAGGAATTCTGTAAGACTGAGAAAATTTGAACATTTAGGGTAAATGTTCTGTATATCAAAATATGTTGCAGAAAAATACATATTGGAGCTGTAGAATATTACAATAGTCCAGTATTGTAATAGTATTATAGGGTTCACATGTTGTCTGTGGGCATATCTTGGTTTTCAATGTTTAGTACATAATTTATTGTCTGGTTACATCCCCTGTACATCATCCCACAGGGTCCAGGGTAGCCTTCCCCAATAGGCAATCTGTGAAGGATGTGTATTTAAAATACATAGGTGTGACAAAGTTGTGGGAAGAGTTGAATATCTGTAGTTGGTACATGTGTTATCCAGGACATCTTACTCTAATTACCATTAAAAGGCTGGATGGTATTAAATTTATAAGAAGATGCAGTTATCAAGCTAGTAATTAAATTGTCATAGTTAAGTCCAAAGGATCCCACCAAGACATTTTCTTTTTAATTAAGCACCTTAGGCCCTTGTTATAGGTTATAACAGAATCGTCTGGAGTATGGCAATAAGTTACATTGAATTCTATTGAGGTGACCTGTGATAATGATTGTAGCTGAATATAGATGATGAATTTTCAGTTAGACTAGCCAATTCTCATACCATTTATGGCACAGAGTCAGAGTGCCATAAATTTGAATATTTTAATCCATGAAGCCACATACGGTGTGGCTCCTTTTAATGTAGTTGGGGTGTAATCTGAGTTTTAATGGATGAAGGATTCATTACATGATCATTTCATATGAAATTTGGTAGTTATGGCTCTGAGGTCTGTAATTATCAGGTTATGTACCTGCTCTAATTGGTATTATCTGGGTTGTTTTGAACCCCAGCTTCAGGTTTTAGTTCAAATAAATTTGGTTTTATTAAGCATTGTAAGTTTGTTTATATAACAGTGGATATACATATGACATTGCCATTTGCCTGATTGATAGTTTGAAATCCTCTCAACCAAATTAGTGTACATTTTCCATACTGGATGTGTGACGTTTGTCCCAGTCTTGACAAAAGGAGTAACTGTGATGTTATGTCCCTTGGAACCATGCAAAATTTAGAAAGATGCATGTATCGTTGTAGTACCACCCTGAACCACTAGAGGGTGTCCATTTCCCAAATATGTTCCATCTATGTTGGACTGCGATTTTAGAGTTGTGATATTCTGCATAAGTTGACCAGTATTTGCCTCAAATACTAACAAATTGTCTCCAAAAGTGTAGGGGGTTTTGTTTTATCTCTAAATATACTTAAATTAATTCAAAGTTGGGCAGTATAGAGGTGTAGTTTTGGGGTGCAGTGGGAGTAAACTTTCATGTGCCCCAAAGCCTGATTTGGCAATAATGTGAAATCATGTGGCGAGATTTTAGAAAAGTGAGTACCCAGGTTTGCGTTAGACTTCTTTGTTGTGAGTTTACTAATATCAGTAGGAAGTTGTAAGATGTAAATCGACATGAGCTTAGACAGGGTCTCATTTGGTCTTACTAAGTTGGAGACATTCAGAGGTCATAGTAAAAAAGTGATCCTAATTAATTGAAATACCAGTACAGCCTGTCATGAAATTTGAGAAGATGAGGAAAATCTGAAGAGAAAGAGATGTAATGTTTGGTACTTGTACAAATTACAAAATTTCAAATTAAATTAAGTTTTAATTAAACTTTGAAATGCTGAGTTTCCATTCTGCATGGAGAAGAAAGTTTATAAATACCTCATGGAGTATTTAACAGAGGACTCTGGAGTGAAGTTCATAGGAAGACAAAACTTAGATTTGTCTGAGGAACTTTTGAATTCCTGTGAAGATTGTGCTTTAAAAGAAGGCACCTAAGAATAGAAGTAGGTGTCCTGAGCATCATTCTGAGGTAGACCATGGGCAGTATGGGCACAGAGTGCCTAGAACACACCAATACTCAGTTGCTTTTGAGGATAGGTAATAGACTGACAAGTCCAGGCTTGTTCAGGTTGAAGGCATCTACAGATTAGTTCCTGAGATTTCTCCAGATGTGGCCATTCTCAGGTGCACAGAGGGACTGAAAATCTGGCTATAACATTTCAAAGCAAGGTGTGCTGTGGTTTCATGCCTCTCATAACTTCAGTTTATGGGCTGACATTGACAACTAAATTTACTTCTCTTCAAGGGTGCTGGAAAATGCAAAGATGCGCTCAATCCCAAATGAATGGTGGTGGTATTTACAAAGATGAACAGGACATAGGTACTGGAGAGGGACAGCACACACCAATACACACGAGGACACACAATATAATGGGAACTTCTCAGGGGAAGTCACTCCAAGGAGACAGAAATAGAATGACCCCATCATTCATCGCCCTTGAGCTCCATGAAAGGGATACTGCCTAGAAATGCTAAAGGGTGAGAAAGGAAATTATTATTGAACTGAGTAAAATGTCTTAATTGAATGGGATTAATGTGAGAGCAGGCAAACTGGATGGTGAAGATGAGCAGTGGAGAATTGTGTGCAAAGTGTCCAAGAGGGCATGTTCAGATGAAAGTCAGATACTGTCAGCATCAGAAGACAAAACATAAAATTTCTGAAGTGGACACTAGTTCTATTTTGAAATACTAAGGAAAATACATTGTAGTGCCAACTGGCCACTATCCTGGGGCTGCTCAAGATGATGTTAACCTCTGGGCCTTCCTCCAGGAGTTTTATCTGTTTGAAATGAATGGGAGGAGCATATGCAAATAAAACATTCTGTTCTCTAATAAACAGCTCAGCAGAAAGAGAGAGAGGCCAGTATTTCTGAGGTCTCCATAGCCTCCCGTTGTTCACTGGATTAATTCAGAAGACATTACCATGAAGCTTGGGCAGAGCTGGGTTCTTGCTTTGACAATTTTGAATGGTAATCTAATGGGGAAATAGAGGATCCAGTGCATGCGTGTGTGTGTGTGTGTGTGTGTGTGTGTGTGTGTG